ATATATATATATATATATATATATATATATATATATATATACAGTATATATATATACATGCACACATACATACGTGTGAATAAGTTTTAAAATACAAACCAATTTCTCTCTTTCTCTCTATTTTTGTGTTTGTTACATTTAATGGAGAATAATTAGGACATATTTGACATATGACAAATACAGCACACTTTGCAAAGTAGGCCTAATACAGTTTTTTACGATTGCTTAAGCACAATTTTGAAAACAGGGCCCGGTTTGTCAAAACACTACACACAATTAACACAACCCTACACCAAAGTAGCACACCACTTCAGATCATTTGCAAACTGGAACACTTTTGTCAAAACTATACACAACTTTATAAAAACAATATTTTGTTACCATACGAAACACACACACATTTCATATGACTTTAATCTTTTTGAGCCAGTTACACACTGCTGTTGCTAACCTAAAGTTGTTTTGTTCCTTGAGTGTAAGATTTTGCTAATTGTTGGAAAAGTTTAATTTTAGTGTGTAAGCAATCGTAAAAAACTGTAATATTCATATAGAGTATATAGCAATGGTATATACAGTAATGGTTTTGATTAATTACTCTCTGAATGCAAAACTTGAATAAATTGTACAATATTCAATTTTGTTGTATATTGTACTTATGACTGGTTTATTAATGTCATTAATTCTGCCTATAAAACCACCACTGGCTCTGCACCCATTTACCTAAATTCATTACTTCAGACTTATGTGCCTCTAGAAGCTTGCGTTCTGCAAGTGAACGGCGTATTATTGTGCCATCTCAAAGAGGCACAAAATCACTTTTACAGACTTTTTCATTAACTGTTCCCTCCTGGTGGAATGACCTTGCCCAAATCAATCCGAGCAGCTGAGTCCTTAACCATCTTCAAGAAACAAATAAAAACACATCTGTTCCACCTTTATTTGACCCTCTAACTCTAACACTTTCTATTCTATTTTAATTATACTTTATCTATATTTATCTTATTTTCTTTTATTTAAAAAAACACTAGCTTTCTATTTTTTCTATTATATCTACTTGTTTTTCTTTGTGTGTGCCTTGCTACGTGTACTGCATTAGGCTAACCGAGACTTGTCATTTGCACTTATTGTTGCTCTTTTGTTAGTTTTGACTGCTTTTATTGTCTTCATTTGGATAAAAGTGTCTGCTAAATGACTAAATGTAAATGTAAATATAAATGTTTAAATAATATAGTGCTTTGGGGTACGGTTTAGGTTTAGTAGTCATAGATAATTTTTCGATACTTTGCTGTTTGTATTTTAGGGCACTGTTTTCTAAGAATGAACCCTGAAACCTTATCTCTTTATCCAATTTTTTTAGATAAACTAATCTTCTTCTAATACTACATGTCATTAAACTAACCAGAGGGTGTGTTGATGATTTCATTGTTCTTTAGACTGTGCCTCATTTTATAACTAAAAAAGGTGATAAACACTACATTTTAGTTGTATTCATCATGTATATTGATTTCTAAACTCTTCCATGTAAACATTGCATCACAGTGATCTCTGGACTGTGCCACTTGGAGCTGCAAAGTAAATACCATGTTGTTTTAGAGATGTTGTGAACACAATATTTTGTATGATTAAAAGGGTCATATGATATGATATATCATCCGCATGTAAAGCTAAGAAAGGTTTTTTATTTTTTTAAGTTGTTTTTTTTTTTTGCTGTGCCTTTAAGAAACATCCCTTTCACATGAGATGCACATGCTTGTGCTAAAATATGCTGAACAAATTGGTAAAATCAGACTGAAAATATCAGAAACTTCAGCCACTTCTTTCAAACATTGAGAAGCATGTGCAAAGAAAGGGATTTCACAGTCAGGGGAAGTACAATTATTATGACTCTTAATTCTTAATTCTAAACTCTTAATTCTTTTGGTGTTAAGAATAATAGCATCTACTGCTTTCTCATTCTGACAAAAACATGGCTGATCATGTTGATGCATTTATCACCACAGCAATTGGTCTCTATAAGGACTAAAGAGAGAAGTTATATGCTTTCTTATAGTCGTCAGACAATCTTATCTCAAAAGATCAAGGAGAATTGGATTGCTCGTGCCTAATGGTTAGAGAGTTGGTCTTGTGATTTGATTTTCTTGTCACAGCAGATTTGTTATATTGCAATACCCATCTCAGAAATGTCAACTATGTTTTGAGACCATTATCACTCAATCACAGTGGTCAGTAAAGATGATTTATTGGACTGAACATTCTAGAGACATTAACAACTCTTGTGTTGTTCAGTTTTGAATATTTGCTCTTTGAAACGTGGCAATAGAGGATTAAATCTGAATGTTCCTCCATAGAGTTTAGCGTTAGTTACTGAGGAGGAGGTGGAGGAGTACCAAGGGGTACGAGGTCTGGAGGGCCCCTACAGAGACGTGGTGGAGGGAAGGGGCAGATTGGATAAATAGAGGGGGGTATTTTTACAACGCCATGGCATGGGAATTCATGGCGGCCCTCAGGTGCCGATTCTGGAACTCCTGAAGGGCCTTTTGGACAGAGGTGTGGATGTTCTGGGTGGTCCCTATGACCAGGAATTTTGTCCTTGTGGTCATGCCCTGCATGTTCTGGGCGATGCGGGTGAACATGTCCTGGGTGATGTCCTGGACGATGTCCTGGTGGGGGATCATGGAATTTACAATCTTTTCTTGACTGAGCAGGGTGTTTCATTGGATGAGTTATGTTCTGGAAACAAATAGAGCAAAGGCATTTTATAGCTAGACCGAATAAAATAACTGTATTTTACTAGTCCAATTTAAGAGAATGTTATTGAGATGTATACCTGAGCTTCGTAAATCTCACATTCCACTTCTGGTTCCTCATTTCCAACTTTGGAGGACTTACAGAAGCCATACCGCTAGAGAAAGAGAGAGAGGTATTCAAAACTACAAATATTGAAGGAACTGAAGGACTTAATGAAGTTGCCTACTGTTAAGGCAAGACACTATAGGTGAATAGGGCCTGAAAAAAAATACTTAATTTGCCTCTAGTGTCTTGCCTTAATTACAATAATTAAAGAAATAAGTTATAAAGTAATTAACTTCTTGTGCACTTACAGCATGATCCCCACATAAAGCCTTGCATGCTTCTTCTTCCTTGTTTGTACAGTTTGTCTCCATAATGGCAAAATCAGCAAAGAAGCTTTGACCCGTAAACATCCACTAAGAAAACAGACAAATGTTCTGTTAACATGCAAACCACTTACAAGCAAAGAGCATAATGACCATTTTCATAAAGTTTTCTGTTTATGTCACAGTAATGTCCGACACAACAGAATTGCTTGAGGCCAGTAAAGCACTATCTGGTGGATCGGATGATGCTAAAGAAAGCACGTCCTGATCCATCAGCTCACTCAAGTCAGTGACCGAGGAGAGGGAAATATCTAACCACTTTTTAAACTCCTCAGCCAGGATCCATGATACAACACACTGCAAACAAAGCATGGAGACAAAGAAGAGGATGACATATTTACAGGTGCCCTTTTATGCCCCCAGTCACACCAGTAGTGAAGTCACAGGCTGTTGCCAGCCATTGTCATTGTTATTGTCGGGATACAAGCTTCAGACACCGGTCACGCTGAAGGCATTCCCCATAGCGACCAATGGGGGACGCAGTGTGGAGTTCCCATTTGAAAGGGAATGACAAAATCAAGAGCATAAACATAGTTCAGTCATTATAACTCTCAGGATAGATTATAAAATCTGTATTAATGTAAATAGAATGTTCATAGGTTATGTCTTGGCAGACTAGATCTACTACACTGCTGCTGCAGAGCAAATAGACTTCCTTCGGCTAAATGCACGGATAATAGAATTAAAAGTAAACATGCTGCTGCTGCTAGAGAGAGGAAGATTCCCCATAGCAGATCTAGACAGGTGGTGCTGGGGAGGCGGTGGGCTAAGATGAAGACACGCATAGCGTGCAGACATAGCATTAATTAAATACAACCTGGTTATATAGGTAAACAGTAATGAGTATGTGTATATGACTGGCTGGGAACATTGAATTAAATGAACAAATTAGAATGCAAGTAGAGTTTCATAGCTGAACTATACATAAGGCTCTTCTCATTTTTTATCTTCATCTGTGATTATTGTTATTGAATCCATCTGTGGTGAGCAAGATTGGTGTGAAAATGGTAAGCAAGCACAGCCCTAGCTCTTCTGGTTCCCCTTATTGAATGGGAAATACAGGTTACTGCCACCTGCTGGTTTGGAGAGTTATTTCCTCTCATGCAGGCACAGAACATACATGCTAGTTGTCTGTTGGCTGTAGTTTTTGCGGTGAGTTCAAGCTCAACTTTTTGTCTGAGATACTTTTTGTCTTGAGGCAAAAACACAGTCAGTCGGCTTTTGTCACCGCTAGTTTTTTGACATCAGTTTGGTGTGTCTCTGCCTTTTCCTTGAGTTGTCTGAGTCAGTAAATTCAGCATTCAAGTGGAATAATGAAGCTTGTTTGGAGTTCATTTCAAGTTTGAAGCAGCTTCCCAAAGCAAACTTTCTGCAAAAGAACAACCAAACATATCCACATTGCTATGATCAGATATCTTCTTAACTGCTGTTTCCTCAGAAGAACTTTGCCATGAGTATATCAAGGCCTTAATGAGTTGTATTTTGAAACAGCTTTGGAATGAAATGTTGCATGCAATTGAGCTTGTATCGTTAGAAGCATTTCTGCTCATGTAGTTGCGTTAAATATTTAAGCTTAACCCAAGTTTGAGAGATATCACCTGTGTGCTGATCCTTCCCACTTCCATCAGTTTAAAGTAAGACTTGTGATTCGATTCTTTGTTGAATTTCTGCAGGGCAGTTTTCACACTCTCCAGAGCCCTCAGGTCATGCAAGGGCAGTAGACTGGGGCAGTCAGGGCATTTTGTCACAAGTATTTCATGTGAAGCTGGGACAAAAACAGGAGCAAAATACAGTCACTATGTGAATCGTAACGTACAGGAGCTGCATTACCTTTTCTGTCCTCTTTGACAAATTGACCTTAACACTACTATGGATTCTTTGAAAGGCTAGTCAAGTTTCTAAAGAAAAAAATTCTAATAGATTTTTTTTACCTGGTTCGGTCTCACAGGTGTAGCGCTTTACAGCTGCTTTTCCCTCAACACTGGAGATGGTCACGTTACATTTTGCTGTCACTTTCTTTAAGGGATACATTAAAAGACTGTTAAATGGATGCACAACTCAAAAGTCACTCTATGCCAAGCAATAAAAGGCAATAATCTGAAATTAGAGTTTGGAAGGTCTGTGATGTTCAGCTCACCGTCTCTGATTCCTTTCTAGTGGTACACTGATCTAAAGGTTTGGGATTCACAATGTGGCATTCAGTTTCCTCTAGAGTTATTCCCAAGATGACCTCACAAGGATCTGTCTGCACAGAAACAAGACAATTTGTAGCATTTGCACATCATAAAAAGGTTTTTCTTTTTCTGTGGTTGAAATCACTCTTTTACACCTTACATAGATCCAACAACATCCACAGGAAGACAAAACCTCACCTTCTCCTCTGCACTGCGACTGTCCAGTGAGACAAATTTGAATTTGTATCCATGGTGGTGATGGTCATTAATGAAGCTCTCAGCTTCTAATGTAGCAATGTTGTCCTGATCTTCTTGGCATTTATGTACCACATCAGTGTCTGTCGGGAGGCTGGCCGCGTGTAGAGCCGAGACCAAAGCTGCTAATATCACCAGCTCTCTCATGCTGCACATGGACACGAACCCTAAATCTTCAACCAAGTAAAAGTCCCCCTCTCTTGTCTAGACCTTTATAATATACACTGCAGGGGGAAATAAGTAAACAGTTTAGTGAGATGCTTGCCAATGTTAATGACATCAAAAACAAATATAAAAGAGGGACGTGAGGGAGTGTCATGTCAGAGGGGATTGTTAACTCACGCTAACTATTAGCAGAATTCACCTGGCTGGGAACATTGAATTAAATGAACAAATTAGAATGCAAGTAGAGTTTCATAGCTGAACTATACATAAGGCTCTTCTCATTTTTTATCTTCATCTGTGATTATTGTTATTGAATCCATCTGTGGTGAGCAAGATTGGTGTGAAAATGGTAAGCAAGCACAGCCCTAGCTCTTCTGGTTCCCCTTATTGAATGGGAAATACAGGTTACTGCCACCTGCTGGTTTGGAGAGTTATTTCCTCTCATGCAGGCACAGAACATACATGCTAGTTGTCTGTTGGCTGTAGTTTTTGCGGTGAGTTCAAGCTCAACTTTTTGTCTGAGATACTTTTTGTCTTGAGGCAAAAACACAGTCAGTCGGCTTTTGTCACCGCTAGTTTTTTGACATCAGTTTGGTGTGTCTCTGCCTTTTCCTTGAGTTGTCTGAGTCAGTAAATTCAGCATTCAAGTGGAATAATGAAGCTTGTTTGGAGTTCATTTCAAGTTTGAAGCAGCTTCCCAAAGCAAACTTTCTGCAAAAGAACAACCAAACATATCCACATTGCTATGATCAGATATCTTCTTAACTGCTGTTTCCTCAGAAGAACTTTGCCATGAGTATATCAAGGCCTTAATGAGTTGTATTTTGAAACAGCTTTGGAATGAAATGTTGCATGCAATTGAGCTTGTATCGTTAGAAGCATTTCTGCTCATGTAGTTGCGTTAAATATTTAAGCTTAACCCAAGTTTGAGAGATATCACCTGTGTGCTGATCCTTCCCACTTCCATCAGTTTAAAGTAAGACTTGTGATTCGATTCTTTGTTGAATTTCTGCAGGGCAGTTTTCACACTCTCCAGAGCCCTCAGGTCATGCAAGGGCAGTAGACTGGGGCAGTCAGGGCATTTTGTCACAAGTATTTCATGTGAAGCTGGGACAAAAACAGGAGCAAAATACAGTCACTATGTGAATCGTAACGTACAGGAGCTGCATTACCTTTTCTGTCCTCTTTGACAAATTGACCTTAACACTACTATGGATTCTTTGAAAGGCTAGTCAAGTTTCTAAAGAAAAAAATTCTAATAGATTTTTTTTACCTGGTTCGGTCTCACAGGTGTAGCGCTTTACAGCTGCTTTTCCCTCAACACTGGAGATGGTCACGTTACATTTTGCTGTCACTTTCTTTAAGGGATACATTAAAAGACTGTTAAATGGATGCACAACTCAAAAGTCACTCTATGCCAAGCAATAAAAGGCAATAATCTGAAATTAGAGTTTGGAAGGTCTGTGATGTTCAGCTCACCGTCTCTGATTCCTTTCTAGTGGTACACTGATCTAAAGGTTTGGGATTCACAATGTGGCATTCAGTTTCCTCTAGAGTTATTCCCAAGATGACCTCACAAGGATCTGTCTGCACAGAAACAAGACAATTTGTAGCATTTGCACATCATAAAAAGGTTTTTCTTTTTCTGTGGTTGAAATCACTCTTTTACACCTTACATAGATCCAACAACATCCACAGGAAGACAAAACCTCACCTTCTCCTCTGCACTGCGACTGTCCAGTGAGACAAATTTGAATTTGTATCCATGGTGGTGATGGTCATTAATGAAGCTCTCAGCTTCTAATGTAGCAATGTTGTCCTGATCTTCTTGGCATTTATGTACCACATCAGTGTCTGTCGGGAGGCTGGCCGCGTGTAGAGCCGAGACCAAAGCTGCTAATATCACCAGCTCTCTCATGCTGCACATGGACACGAACCCTAAATCTTCAACCAAGTAAAAGTCCCCCTCTCTTGTCTAGACCTTTATAATATACACTGCAGGGGGAAATAAGTAAACAGTTTAGTGAGATGCTTGCCAATGTTAATGACATCAAAAACAAATATAAAAGAGGGACGTGAGGGAGTGTCATGTCAGAGGGGATTGTTAACTCACGCTAACTATTAGCAGAATTCACCTTGACATTGATGTTTTATTAGAATTAAAGTAGTTTCTGAATTATGATTGAGGCATTCTGCATCGTGCCACATAGTCCTTCATAAATCATTCTGATATGCCGATTTAATGCTCAATTATTATTAATAATGGTTCTTTTTATAATAAATATTGAAAAGAGTTTTGGATGCTTAATAGTTTTGAAACTGTGAAACTTTTTTTTCAGGATTCTTAGCTGAATAGAAATTTCAAACGAACATTTATATGCAATTTTGTCAAATTTGTAATGTATGTACTGTCACTTTTCTTCAATTTAATGCATCATTGCTGGAAAAAAAAACATTTACCATCTTTTCTTTTTTTGTTTTATTAAACCCTTAACTTTTGAATGGTAATATAGGTTCCACAAATATATTAAGCCACAAAAACTGTTTTCAACATTGATAATAATAAGAAATGAGAAATAAATTACGGTGTTTACTGTATTGTTGATCAAATAAATGCAGTATTGGTAAGATGCTAATATAGTCTCATAGATCATGTCTCTTAGACACAATGCATTTATACTACTTTGAGACAAATTGAAATAGAAGATAATTTAATTATTATTTGATATTGTTTTATATTTATCATTAAATAAGTGTCATTAATTCCATGTTTTGTTAGCACAATATAAAAACGCTAGAACTGTCAATTTGTTTTTTTCTTAATTATATTTATTATACACTGTGCCAATTAAATTATATATTGTGGTCAATCAAAATAACTGCAAATAAGCAGATAAATATTTGCTGACAAAGGTCCTTAAATAAAAGTTTTTCAAAAACCTAACATTATTGTAGCAGTTGAATCAATTGAAAAGACATTAGAAATCAATATAAACTTGATTTTATTTCCGTTTCATCCAACATATGCCTATCAGTGGTCTGTAGTCCATGTTAATCTATTGTGCATTCAAGCATTGACTTTGGACTCCTGAGGCCGGTACTTGAAGCTTCAGTTGCTTTAATGGTATTAGAATTGTTGTAAAGAACAGACTTTAATGGGATCAAGTTTTTATTAGTCATAAAGTTTCTACACAATATCTTTGTGTTTAAAGTCAGTTTATAGTCTATCAGTGGTGTTACTGACTCTCAATACTTTTAACTATATGTAACACCACTGACAAAATGGTTTAAAAAATCCTACAATTATTTACTTATGACCTATGAAATTAGAACAAGAATAAGCTTGATGGACAGCACCTGTTGCATAATATTGATCACCACAGAAAACACATACAATCATTCATAAATCCATACAACGATTGTTTCAAAGACTGAAGTGCATTGTCATCAAGTTTGGGTCACAAATGTGATGATATTCATAGAATACAAAATAAAACAAAAATTGTATTTTATTTTTTTAATTCTGGGGGTGTTACTAGTTACTAATATAATACCAGGCAGATATAGAGGGTTAAAAAACAATATTAATAAATAATATATAAAAATAATATTACTTATACTAATATATCTAGTCAATGATTCACTGATCCATTCATAAAAACAGTTTCTTTGTTCCTGAATGAAACATCTGTTTTGAAATAACTGATTGAATAAATAACTCACTTCAGTATAACAGTGGCTCGCCGCCACCTACTGGCAATTTTAGTTTCATATTTAAAAGTATCGTTCTATTTTTTTCTGATCATTTCATATTTTTATATTCCTAATTTTATATTTAAAACATTAATCTTATGACAGTATTTATGCAATTTGTTAGTGCAGTGTCAATGCATGTTGTTTTTCAACATCTGGAACTTTTCAAAATACCTTTTATGTATTGTGCTCCAGTTCTGTCCAAATGATAACTCTCAGTGTATAAGCCCTGAGTTAGAAAGTTTTTCTGTTTTTAGATCCTTGCGGGTGCGGAACCTAGGTATTCTAGTCGACAAGCATTTAAAATTTGATAAACATATCTCTTCTGTCATTGGGTCCAGTTTCTATCAGCTTCGTTTACTGTCTAAAATTAAAAACTTTCTCACTCCTAAAACTCTAGAAATGGCTGTTCATGCGTTCATTACATCTCGTCTAGATTACTGCAATTCTTTATATTGCAGTATATCTAAATCTCAAATTGCTTGTCTTCAGCTTGTCCAAAATGCTGTGGCAAGACTTCTTTCAAAATGACGTAAACATCACATCACACATCACTCCAATTCTTAGATCTCTACACTGGTTGCCGGTTTGTCAGAGAATAGACTTTAAAATTCTCCTCTTTGTATATAAATCCCTACATAACCAAGCTCCTGTCTATCTATCTGATCTTCTTTACATCTATACTCCGTCTAGAAGCCTACGGCCTTGTTGGTGGTCCCTCACGTTAATATAACAAAGAGTGAAAAATTTAAGGGGGTTTGAATACTTTCCGAACCCACTGTATTTATAAATCATTGACTATATATCAAACAACAGTGGTAAGTCAGAATCATTCCTGTTCTTTGCACCGCTTGCCACATGTATAGTTTATCTCTCTCTGTCGGCAACGAGGGATTCTCATGTGATAAATGCAGGGAAATAGTTAGGCTGACAGAGAAGGTTTCAGAATTAGAGACACGCATCCAAACTTTAATTGAGGACAGTAAGAATGTGAGGGCTCTAGATACGGCTTTGGATGCGACTCGCTCAGCGAGCCCTGTTCGGTTCCAGTTACAGAGCCTCCACAGCAGGGCGACTGGGTGACTGTGAGGCGGCATAGTCGCGGGTCAAAACACCGCTCTACCGTTCCGATCAAAACATTAAACAGGTTCTCCCCACTCAGTGAGAAACATGATCAAAGTGCTCTAGTTATTGGCGATTCTATTGTATGGAACGTAAAAATAGAGACACCAGCCACCATAGTCCAATGTTTACCGGGAGACAGAGCACCTGACATCTTGGCAAATTTAAAAGTGCTGGCTAATGCTAAATGTAAATTCAGTAAGATTGTTATTCCCGCCGGCGCTAATGATGTTTGATGCTTCGGCAGTCGTAGATCACTAAAAATATGTGTATGTATAAGGTGTGTGAACTTGCAAGTACGATGTCAGACACTGTAATATGCTCTGGTCCCCTCCCTGCTTACCGTGGTGATGAGATACATAGCAGACTGTCATCACTCAATGGCTGGATGTCGAAGTGGTGCCCGCAGAATAACATAGGTTTCATAGACAATTGGATGAGTTTTTGGGGCAGACCTGACCTGTTGAAAAGAGATGGTCTTCATCCCTCCTGAGGTGGTGCCGCTCTTCTCTCTAGAAATATGGCACATAGTCTTAGAGTTTGTACTTGACTAACTGGGGCCCAGGTCAGGAAGCAGACAGACTGGCTAAACCGACCATCTGCTAGCCGCCTCACGTCACAGAAATCAGTTAATTATCAGCACATAGAAACTCTTTCACCCAGATATCAGACTATAGAGACTGTGTCTGTTCCCCGAACTAGAAAATACAAAAAAACGTCCAAACCAATTTAAGAGTCACAATTTAATTGATGTTCAACAAATAAAAAACAGATGTAATATGGATAAACAAATGATAAAGCTTGGCTTATTGACTATCAGGTCCCTTTCTACTAAAGCACTTTTTGTAAATGATATGATCACTGATCATAACCTAGATGTGCTCTGTTTGACAGAAACCTGGCTAAAACCTGATGATTACATTATTTTAAACCAGTCTACCCCCCAAGATTACTGTTATAAACATGAGCCACGTCCACAAGGTAAAGGGGGAGGAGTTGCTACAATTTATAACAATATTTTCAGCATTTCTCAGAGGGCGGGTTTCAAGTATAACTTGTTTGAAGTAATTGTGCTTCATATAACATTATCCAGATAAACAAGTGTTAATGATAAATCCCCTGTGATGTTTGTGCTGGGACAAGCGATTAGTCAACAGAAGAGAAGGACGGCAACGCGTGAGTGTTTTGCATAATACTTGTTATAGATCTGTTGTTTAAATGATTACTTGCTGCTAGGAAGGAATATTTCGTTTTCTACCTATTTATACTTTGTATTTTCGTTGAAGTTTGTATTTTTGATTGCACTTTCTGGTAATTCTAAGAATTGCCCTCGGCTTAGAAGGAGCCTGTGTTATTTGCGTTGCTCTTTCGATTGGACGATTTGCCCTGCTATAGGCCATTGTCTGTGCTAATTAGAAGGCGGCCACAGCGGTTTTCACTTTACTGTGTATTTATTTGATGCTTGTGCGCTGACGCGGAAGCATCAGCGGAAGCGTTCAGCCCTTCTTGTGTAAAGACCAACGAGGGTAAAGACCTGAGACTTTACCTGCGTGACTTCACCAAGCTACGAACTCGCCATCACACTTAAGTATATTTGTTTTATCTTCTCTTTACACACTCTCCTTACCTGTCCTCTCTTTTCCATTTCTATCATGTGTTTCCAAACCATTCCGCCTGTGTCTCGACAATACTTTAACATCACACGCAGACGCCAACGCAATCTTGCTAACCTGCATTCTATCTCTACATCCTCTACTGCACCTCTTTCTTTCTCTGTGGGTCTCTGGAATTGTCAGTCAGCTGTCAACAAAGCAGACTTCATTTCTGCCTTTTCTTTCCAATCCACACTCAGCATCTTGGGCTTGACTGAGACCTGGATTCGTCCAGAAGACTCAGCAACCCCAGCTGCTCTAGCTAACAATATCTCTTTCTCTCACTTTCTCTGCAATGATTTGTATCATGAAAAGCGCTGTACAAATAAACTTTAATTGAATTTAATTGAATTCATCTGGACAAGCCTTATGCTACAGACTTCCATTCACTCCTTGCTTCATTTGATCTCAAACGACTTACCACTACAAGCACGCACAAATCAGGCAACCAACTTGACTTAATTT